CAAGTAATGTTAACTTGAAACTATTTTGTTGACTATGTAAAGTAGTGTTTGTTGTATATTATGTGTTTAAGTATAAGATAATTGAGCAACTTATTTAGACATGGCATTGAAACCTATTTATTTTATGGCATGCGTATATTACACATAAACATTTACAAATGTCTGCATAACATTTAATTATTTGCAGAACCTAACCGATCCAGTGTTGCAACAACTGCAGCATCTTCAACGTTTGCTATCCAAAGGAGCGGACGCTGCTACGGTCAGGGCTGAGCAAGTGCATTTCGACAAAAAACTTCTCGACTTTGATTATGGCGATGATGAGGAAGAAGTAAATCCCAGTCCAAGACCGACCCAGTCCGGTTCATCATCTGCCGACCCAGTAGCTAGGTTGGTCGAAGATACTGAATATATGCTGAATATTTTTGTTCATTTGAAACTATTTTCAGCCTTCTGACTAATCCAGAAGTGCTGAGGCAACTTCAGACACTGCAAAGCACATTGGCAGGCGCTGTGAACCCACCGTCTGTAGAATCAGAGAATGACCGAATGAAGAAATTACATGAAATGAAGCTGCAAGAAGATGAATTTGATAAACGTTTAGCTCAAACTGTGCCTGTAAGAATCGATGTTTATTTGCGATTTTTACATATTTACGAAAACCGCAAACAATTTATTAATTTTTTGCAGAACCTACCTTTCGCAGCCGAGTGTGACTTCAAGTTAAGTTCAACGACGAGTATGATCGGGGGGCTTCATTTCATTGCACCTCAACCAGAGATCCAAATAGGACAAGGATACGAAATCCAGAATGATACTAATACATTTTATGGTAGTCAGCCTGTCACCAATGAAGTTGAAGTAACTTTGTTATTTGAGCTGTGAAAATGGTATATTTAATCTAATATTTTTAATTTTACAGGTAATCAACTTGGATCATGATGATTCACATTCAGAAGATGAACGATACAAACGGAAAAGAAGCCGTTCACGATCACGCGATAGAGGCAGAGAAAAAGACAGACGACGAAGAACGAGAAGTAGATCTAGATCTAGGTAAAGTAGAAAAATTTAAAAATATATCGAATCTAGTGTCTTTGCAATTATCTTTTATGTTATGTATATATATTGTTTTGTTATAGGGGTAGAAGGCATAGGTCTAAATCTAAAGATAGGAAAGAAAAGGAGAAGCGCGAAAAGCAAAAGGAAACAGAAAAGGACAAGGAGCGAAAAAAAAGAGGGTTACCTGCTATGAAAAGCAACAATTTGAGCGGCAAGTTAAATCAAATGTAGTTGTAATTGGTTATATGACTTTTGCATGGGTTTTCAGTGTGCAGCACTACTTTGTGGGTGGGGCATCTTTCCAAATTAGTTCACCAAGATGATCTGTCAAATACCTTCGGCGAATTTGGTGATATTGTGAGTATCGATTTAATATCACCTCGAGGATGTGCGTTTATTGTTATGCATCGGAGGCAAGACGCAGCAAGATGTCTTGCAAAATTGAAAAACTATAATCTACATGGAAAAGCCATAACGGTAAGTAGTCGATATTTTAGAGCGATTAATTCAAGTCATTCGTCCGCGGTCGTACGAACTAACATATCTCCAACCAAAGAGACACTTTCGTATCATCGTACCATCGTATAAACGGATGCGTGGGACACGGGCTTAAGCAGTTAGACCTATTTTTTTCAAAAGTTAAATGTATTGTTAATTAATTGCAATTCTCATCTTTCTATTAGATTGCTTGGGCTCCTGGAAAGGGAGTGAAAGGCAAAGATCTAAAGGATTATTGGGAAGGTGATTTAGGAGTGTCTTATATCCCATATAACAAACTTAGGCCAGACATGGATTTGGAAGCTTTGGAAGACGGTGGTATGGAGCTAATTTATAACTTGTTTATCTGTTCTTTTGTTTAACTTATGATCACTCTTTTCAGGTATGATCGATGAAGATTCTATGCCTGATTGGATGAAGATGAAAGTTGAAGAAAGTGCAAAGAAGAAAGTTGCAGATTTGACACCATTTTTAATGGGAGGTAACAGTTATAAAATTGAAAGTGTTGTAATCTGGTTTAACCGTGCTTTATCTTGTTTTAGCTGGTGACACATCTAATCATTCAACAATCGATACCAGCCAGCCTCCTCCACTCCCACCTTCTAGTCTCATGCAACCCCCAATGCTCTCTATGGTAAATCCGTTTCAAATGAATAACCGATTTTTGAGCATGATTCCTAACATGGCAAACTTGGCTAATTTGCCATTGGGAGTGCCGCCACCCAATATGGCACCTCCTTCTATAATGTCTAATTTGGGATTAGGAGTCGGGTCGCCTTTTCAAGGTTAGTCATACAAATGAAAAATGTTAAAATTGATGTTTCAAATAACTTAAATTGTTTTATATATTTTGGTCTGTCATTTTAGGACCTCCCGGGTTTATTCCGCCTGGAATGCCGCCTCCACAGCAGCAAGAGCAAAAGCCAAATGCACAACCTTCCTCAGATGTAAAACTGCGTAATCTGAGCGAGTCTTTAATGAACTTGACGGGGCAACCGTTGGGTTTACCACCTCAACTTCCAACGCATCTTCCGCCTCCGCCTTTGCATTCGCTTATGGACGATAGTATGGACGTTGAAATGGAAGATGCAGGTATGATAGGTTTATACACATTCTAATAACGCAATTATAATTTGAGTATAAATTATGCAATTAAGAAGATCGCCGACTAATCTTATCAACGTAAAATCAAGTCAAATTACTTACCATTTGTCATTTTATGAAACTTGACGCTCTTCTCCAAAAAACACTCGTGAAGTTTATTTGTGGTATTCGGAACGCTATTGTTAGAAGTATACTCCGACATGAGCCGCATGTAATAGTTTCTATAAATATAACAAATAGCTTTAAATAAACATAAAAAACTAATTTTTAGACAAATACAATTTTATTGTATTGTAGGTAACCATAATAAATTTTGTAAATAAAGAAATAAAACACAAAAACTTTATTCATTCACGCACTGATTATAGGCTAGTGCAAATATTTGAAAAAAAATCCGCCCGTATAGCAGTCAAATCGATTTTTTTGTTTATTCATTTAGTTTGAATAAATCCATTATCATCCTAAAATTGGTTCTAAGTATTGGTTACTCCAAAAAACCTGCTTGATAGCTGTGTTTTTCTAATTAGGGCTGCTGACTGGCTTCAATCAATTCTAACTGATTACCACTTCAATATACACTTTATTACAAAAAAAAATATGTCGTTTGATTGGATTTTCTTCAGTGTGCCCACACCTGCTTCCTTTCAATTCTAACTGATTCCCATCACTGTGTGATTTAATACTGATTGAGTTTTAAATTTTGGAAACACCGTGGCGGGGAAATGTGGGTGACAATCTATGACTCGACAATAGCCCAATCCATATCCAGTAGCCTCAAGTTTTACTTTTTGTAATTTTAGTACATCCGGACTTGAACAAACCGCCACCAAATATTGCATTGAGCGATCAGCTTCAAGCTGCACTGAATGTCCCTTTTATTAGAGACAACAGGCGAGATGACTCTCGCTTCTCACCTTCCAGGAGAGATGGACGAGATAACAAGAGAGATCGCAGCAATGAAAGAGGTCGGAGGAGGAGTAGGAGCAGGGAACGAGATCAAAACAGGTAATGTTAAATAGAAAGAAATATTAACGAGATGCAGCGAATATTAAAGTTCCGTGGGTGTTCCCATATGTTGCCGGTATCCGGAAGATTCTGAACTAATTTTTTTAATACATATTTAAAATATATGTTTTTATTGGATTCTTTTTCATTAGAGACCGGGATAGAAATGGAGCACGTGATCGCGAGCGTCGAGATAGAGACAGGGATTTCAGCAGAGGCGGCCGAGATAGAGATCGCCGTGGGGGCGACAGAGATCGTGTTAATAGGTAAATCTCCTTTGAGAAGTTTGTATATATTTAGGGCTGTGATGTTAATTTTGCGATTTTGCTTAATTTATTTCAGATGGGGTGCAGTAGATCGCAGAGATGACCGAGGTTCGTCGGATCGTCGAGATAGTGGTTATGATCGCCGCGCAGGTCCTCTTGGTCGACGTGATACAAATGATAGACGAGACGATTCTTTTGAGAGGAGAGATGCGGCTCGATCTACTGAACGGAGAGATTCTGTTGATACGCGAGAGAAAAATGACAGATCAAAAACACTTAATGACCGACTTAAAGAAATGGCTGGTATGCTTTTCTTATTTTTTATATTTATTTATTTTATGTATTTATACTATTATCGATTAAGAATGCAACTAAACTATTAATTTAGGTATTAACTTCGATAACGCGGCGGATCAAAGCGAACGGAAAGCTTCTCCCCGAAATCTAGGAGCTTCCGAGGCAAAAGCTGATTCTCCAAAGGAAGGAGGATTACGTTTTGAACCACCTGTTAGTGGTAAGGAATCTTTTAATACTCGCTTTGCGCCACAAGCTAAATATTTTGTTTAAAACACACATTTTTGGTACTAGTAACCTGAGAAACCACTATGATTTACTCTATTTTTCTATTGAGAAACACTGCATCTCTGAACTTATGGTACAAAAATTTCTAACATAGAACATCTTAATTTACTGTTCCTGTAAGGTCATTCATAATCGTTCAGATTGTAAATATAGTTTTCTGATGGCTTTTGCCAAATACGGAGCAAGCAATCTATTAAAAACGAAAACCTGGCTTTTTGCCATTTTTGGTCTTTATTCCACTCAGTATTTACCATACCCTTTATTAAGGTGGCAAGGGCCTTTATTAAGGGAGCTCAATCAAAAAATGAAATTCTAAAGCATTGAATTCTGCTCAACTGATTTCTTCGTCATTTGAAAGTCGAAAGTAATAGAACGGCAATTACCATAAATGAAATCACCATAATGAGGTGAATTACATAGAAAACAAATCAAAGCATTAGATTTGACGAAAAAATTAAAAAAATTGCTACAATTTCATACCACATATTTGATGAATTTATAATTTTATTATTAATGTAATTGAGTCTCTTTCGCCAATGACTGTGCTAGTCGCTTTTAATGGGTAAGGCGAAATGCAACATAATGTATGATTACGTTTTTGAGCTGAACTCAGGAACGATAGAAATTCAACCGATATTTAGTCAAACAGCAATGTGCTTACTATATTACTTATTTTGTTTGCATCGGAGTAATAAAGCTTTTCTTAGTTTCAGAAGACATTTTTTCAAGTTTACCACCTGAGACCGGACGAGAAGATAGATCATCCACGGATTTAGTACGAAATCCAAGTCCGCCCGATAATAAATCAGCTGATTTAAATAACGAAGGAGTACCTCAAGGCAATAATGAATCATCAGTTACTCCATGCAATGAAAATGAAGATAGTCTACAGTTATTGACCTCGTCAAGAGGAATTGAGTTGGGTTCTGATTTGCAAGATTCCAAGCAATTTGGTCGAGAAAGATATGAAACTGGTGGTTCTAAAGAATTCGGCTTTGGCGGACCGAGATCATTTGATGGGGATGGATTAGGCTCTTTCGGCGCTTTTGGACCTGAAGGACCGGACTCCTTTAGGCCTGACGGTCCGTGTCATTTTGCACCTGATAAACCTCCATTTAGAGGTGAGACTGCAAACAAATAATTTAAATCAATTTTTTAATTATATAATTATTGGTTCAAGGTCCTTCGTTTGGAGATGAAGGGTTTGGAATTCCTCCTGATCGAATTGACGGATTTAGTTCTAATTTTCCACCACCCGGATATGAAGGACCTCCAGAAAGATTTATCAGAGGTGGTAGAAGGGGTCGAGGACGAGGTACTTTTACTGGACTATTATGTTCTAAATAGTTTTATCTTTCTCTCCATATAATTTATCTATAATAGTTGATTGATTGATTCTTATATCAGTAAATCTCTTCATTTTAGTCATTTGAGTGGCTTACTTGCAGAGCACGTACAATTGTTCTATATTGCTAAATGTAACAAATTATTAATTATAATTAAAATAAATATTTAAAAAACCTTAATCARAGTGTTGGTGTTRATTTGTTCAGGTCGTGGAAGAGGAAGAGATGGTCCAGAATTTTTCCCTCGTGACGATTTTGGTCCCCCTGTAATGGATGAAGGTTATGGCCCACCAATGCGCGAAGAATTCGGACCTCCACTGAGAAGCGATTATGGCCCGCCGATGAGAGATGATTTTGGTCCGCCTATTCGAGACGATTTTGGTCCGCCAATTCGAGACGATTTTGGTCCACCGATGAGAGACGATTTTGGGCCACCAATGAGAGACGATTTTGGGTCGAGAGGTATGCGAATGCGTGGAAGAGGATTTTTTGGTCGCGGTAATGGCCCGAGAGGCAGAGGAGGGGAGCGGCTGGGTGATTGCTTAAAACAATGTTACAAACTGCAAAAAATATTACAACCATATTCCTAATTATTTATCAATCCTTTGTTATAGGCATACCACCTGAATAATAATCCTAATTCAATTTGATCTGAATTTCAAATAGAGCTCATACTTTTTTTTACGAACATCATTCATTTCATCAGTTTTCTTATTACGACTTGATAGAGTATAAATTCAGTACCAAACGTACTACAGAACGTAATTCAAAGTTGTTGATTCATTTTTACTAGGGCTCGGAATCAAACTCGAATAATTCGAGTATTCGAATATTCGAATATTCAAAAAGCGAATAATTATGTGTAGTCATAACTCGAATAATCGAATACTCGAATACACCAACATTATCAAACTCACAAGGTGCAAATATCTTTATATGCACTTTGTATACTTTTATAAAATAAATGATTTATATTCTACAAGCATTTAAACAAATACCCATATATTTACAAGCAAATGAAAATAATCATATTTACTATCCTGCAATTGAATATAAAATTACGTCTCTGTGTTCTGGTGATTCGCGTCATCAACTTTTGCGCGGTATTACAATTAATGTGCCGACAAAGGCACTTTTTTATCCGTTGCGGCTAGTTGCCAAAAATGATATCAGATAACGATTTTTCTTCTTGGAAAACGGTGAACGGAAAACGAACACTCGAATATCTAACGAATATTCGTATACTCGATTATTCGAATATTCGTTAGATATTCGAGTATTCGAATAATTTTACTATTCAAATAAACCACTAAACGAATATTCGAATATTAGATTTTTAAAAATTCCGAGCCCTAATTTTTACCAATAATCGCAAAAAAACTAAATATAAGAAATATTTATGACACAAAAAAACTGTTGTATTTTAAGAACAGAAAATACTTGCCTGTAAGACATTAGTCGAAATTAAATTGTCGATTTAGAAACTTGCGGCTATAAAAAATCATACACATGGGGTGCTTCAACAATGTTAGCGCTAAGAAATCGTTAAAATATTACAAAATCTCTAWCTAACSGACAAGGTGATATTTCTAAATTAATGTAATTTACTAATCSAGAATTCTTTTAAACTTTRAGCTTAAATGCGTCGTAGGTGWCAGCTTTGGTCCTAAACTCCGSTAACTAATTTGCKCTCCGKTAWMTAACAAGAGCATTTCTTATCAAATTGTGGTAAAAGACGCAAGTAAATTCRGTCGATTCAAAGATCAAACRTTTGATTCAAAATAGCCAAATAGAAGTTTGTAAGTTTAAGTACCTCCACTCCCAATGAGTTCACTCATTAACGGGTTTTAATTTTATTTTCGACGCAAAAAAGTTCCTATAAATGAAATAAGTACCAAGGATAGTTTTTTACAGATAGGAACTTTTCCGTTTTTATATTTAACAAATACTTAAATCTCGTAAAATCTTAAAGCTTCAATTTCTTGCTGAACCTTTTCCGTTTGTTGAACGTCTTCGTTTCACAATTTTTCCCTCAACAGCTTCGTAATACGATACATTTTAATTATTAAAATCTGTCAAGCCCCAAAACCGCTTTAAAATATTCTTTATCATATTTTTTCATACGAGCAGTCCGATAACTGCGCAAGCAATCTTTGTTTTGGAAAATTTTTACAGCTACGATATTTCCGGTTTGAGTACAATTTCTTTTACCTGAATTTCGTTCAATTTTTCCCACTTTTTGGATGTATGATTCCTCAATATTTTATCCATTGCAGTTCGTATCTCCGTCCTCTGAAGGCGAATATTGTTCTATAATCCTGATTCTTTTTCGATTTTTTTAAATCATTAGTTTCAATTTCTTCTTCACTATCTGAACTAAATGTTCTTGTTTTGTTCTGAAATGATTGAAATAATTTCGAAAATTTAATATTAAATTTTAAGTTTTATATTAATTAAATTCAACAAACGCAATTGCCACAAAAAATGAGGTTAACTTGTTAAATATTAAATTCCTTGATTTAAATATAAATGTAGTTAGACCACTTTCAAACTACACGGTTCACTTATTGAACTGATTCTGCAAACGTGTCCAGAATTATCATATTTGCATGGAATATAAGCGACCTGAAATTCTTTATGTACTGATAAATAGTGTGATAAATAGCAGAGTCTGTTAAACAGGTGTTTTATAAAGGTGGAATTTGTTTTTTACCAACTGCAAGCATATTTGTGATGTGCTTGCAAATTTTAAAATCTCCATAGTAGACGTAGGACGGATTTTGTTTATCATGTGAAATATTTTTGATTATTTGATATTGTTGTTTTTTATTAAATTAAAACTATATCTGAACACCGTTAATATTGCAGCAGCGTCGTTCCGAGAGGGTCCATCTGGATTCAACGCCGATTTTGATGGAGGTCCACCTGAGTTCTTCAGGGGAGGCCCTAGGGGACGCCCATTTGTTGATCCTTTCCACCATCGTGGAAGAGGTCGTGGTTTTAGAGGAGGGCGAGGACGGCATGAGTTTGCAGATGGTCCTCCTCCAGATTTTTTCAATGGACCCCCAGGAACACATTTTGAAAGTGGTCCTCCATATGAGGATGCTCCTCCGTTTGGAGAAGTACGAACTCAATCTGCGGACTTCGGGAGCGAGCCTGATGGACGCAAGGATCGAAGTACACGGAAGGAAAGACTTTCCCGGTGGGAAGGTGAGCCGGAACAAGGGGAAGTTAACCAGAATGTTGAGACATTGCCTGCTTGCCCAGATGGTAAGTTATTGCGCCAATATTTATTAGAAAGGTTTTTTCGAATGCTTCGAGATTTAGTCTTGGATTCATAATTCTTGCGACATACAAAATCTACTTGGTAACTTCGAAGACTGGTTTAATGTTTTAGCAAAAAAATCACAGAAATGCACGCGGTAGCGGACGCGAGTTGCAGATCGTGTTATGGTGTGTACAGACCTAAAGGTACGGTTTCTGTGGTGCGACTGCGACTGCGACTCGCGGCTGAAACCTAAAAGCAACGAAATATTAACATG